AGGTTGGAGTGTTTGGATTGATGGGATTTGGAGGCGCAGGCGTCTTCTTGTCCCGGCCTCTGATCCAAGAATTGAGCCGGCCGGAAGTATTCGAGGACTGCCAGAGAATGGATGTGACGGGCGACCGCCGAATTTCTCTTTGCATCTACCAGTACACCAGTGTTCGTTTGACCATCGACCACCGCCTGCACCAGCTTGACATGATGGGCGATGTGTCCGGGTTCTTCGAGGCGGAACGGCAACCGCCGCTGTCAGTGCATCACTGGAAGTCTTGGTTCCACGCGGACATGGCCAAAGCCAGTGCGGTCACCGAAATCTGCGGTGATTCTTGTCTCCTGCGGAAATGGCACTTTGGAGATGGCTGGATCCTCACCAACGGCTTCTCGGTGGTGAAGTATAGCAGCGAGAAGAAGCCAGGCGACAGAAGCATGGAGCTCACGTGGGACAGCCACAACGGTGCTGTTTTCGAGTCATATCTGCATGAGCTTGGTCCTCTCCGCTTAAAGGACGAGGGAAAGATTAGCTACCTGCACGAAGACGCCATCATTGACGGAAACCGCGTCCGTCAATGGTACGTCCACCGTGACCCGGAGAAAGGTGATCAAGTTCTAGAGTTGATCTGGCGAGCAGCCTAAGAACGCCCGCCTGTTTGCATTAAGATTTGGCGCAACACTTATTCGCACAATCCCTCCCACTCTCCTCCTGCCGCCCCGCCTTCGTCCATCTTCAAAACCACCTGTATTGCTTCTACAAGCTACAGGTTCTATCTCATGTCCCGCTCCCTGACTTCTTCACTTATATATGAAAAGGGGTATCCCCCTCAACCCCCTCTTCTACGCTAGCCACGTTTATAATTTTTCTTCTTTTTTTACGGCGCATAGATCATGAAACTTGATTGTTTAGCTTGGGATGATATCAGATTCGTGCGCGATACAGGTACATAGTCTTGGGTTTCTTACTTTTTTTTTTACCTTACACTTTCATACCAATTGTACATTTATTTTTGATGGACCCGGGTGTGTTGCTTTGTATAGCGCAATTAGACTGAAATAAAGAAATGATGTTTTGATTAAGTCCATGTCGCTTCTTTGAATTCACTTATAAAGGCGCGATGACTTCCCTTCAAATATAAGAAATATTTATGATATGGTGACTGAGCTAATATTCGACCACAATCGAAAATGAATAGATAGTCTCATCACCTATATACATGCTTTATTACATACAATTCACCTTCATGCCGTATACATTGCCACATAAGTCTCCAAATAAATGGTATCATAACAAAAGCAAAGTCGTAACAAACTCGAATTAATGCCAGAATCGTCATCATCGTAGTTCCTTCTTTAGTTCAAAAGATTGTTTTCCGGAAATTGCACCTGTGGAGTGGGTAGAAGTTGTGATAGTGGCTCCATTAGTGCTGTCTCTTGTTCATGGGAATCGGGATTCTCCGGAACAGTAACCACGGCGAGCCCGTTTTCCTCTTCCCATGTGGGGGCAGTGGATAATGGAGGAAGGAAATTGCCCATTGACGTGGGGGATGTGAAATCCATAGCCCCTTTGCATCGCTCTAACAATGAGGGGAAGAGGTACGACTGAGAGCCGCGGATGCGTGATAAGGTGGTGAGGATGCCCCAAAGGAGTTCGCGGGGATCGACGGCCGCTTCAGTAAGACGGTGCGCGGCTTTAGTATTGAGCGATCGTGCCACGTCTGCGACTGAGGAACCCAGGTCGAATAGTTTTTGTTCCTGTTATGTCGTTGTTAGTAATTGGCATTGGCATGTGCTAAGTTGGAACTGATGTACTAACCATGCCAATGCCGTGAGCGTCAACAGCTCCCTGGGATGCAGCACCAATAACGTTCATAACGGCTTTGCCGACAAGGACGGGGAGGTGAAAGGGGAGGACTGCCTCATCGCGAGACCCAGGCTGAGTGGCGCGAGTCATAGAAAGTTTCCACATTACTGTCTGTAGCCATTGCTGGGTGATGAGTATGTCGACCTTTTGGATCTCCGAAACTCCGTCGACCGAGATCGCGTTGCAGAGACTAGATTGAATAGCAGACGTAGGGGGCATCTCGGACGAGCCGTCCATGCCTCCCGCAGAGACCCAGTCATAAAGGTTGACGGTCAATTTCTCGAAAATGCTGATTAGATTGATGAAACCGTATGCTAAGATAGGATCTTCGGAGCAAAGTACTTGCGGCTTGCGGATTGAATTGCGCAGCATTACTGGTTTCGCTTGTTGAAGTGCGTAGCCCCTAATTCATATTAGTCGAAGACTGGCAAATGCTTTCCTAGGATGCACCTACCTTTCTGTGACAAACAGTAGCCAGAACACCCTGCGCCGTTCCTCGGCTTCCTCTATACTCAGATCCACATAACTTGATTCCCGGTGGAGTGCTAGCGTGAAGACCATGGAAGTCGCTTGACAGAGGTAGAACCAGGCATGGTCCTGTCTGTCCAGATTGCCATACGAAGCAAACAGGAAGAAAGACGTAAGAAGACTTTCTATATTCATTCCATCTACTGGGTCGCAATCCTTCCTTGCGCGTACTGCTTCAGCCAGCAACTCTTCGCCGGACATCCAGGAATGCCCGTCAATCCCGGCTTGCAGGTGTGAAGGTTCTGGGACAGAAGCTGTGCCATCCAGCTTGAGTTGGATGTGTGTGGCTGCGCATAGGGCGACAAGAAAGGCATATCGTTGGGGCGATAAACGTTCAGGCTGGTGGCAATCTTGTTGGAGCTCCTCCTTCCGGACCACAGGCATGATGGGGAACAGATACTTCAGATAAACATTCACATGAGCCAGTAGCACCGGAGCGGACAGGCGTCGTGCATAAGGGCGCACTAGTGCCATACTAGAGTCTGACAATGAATTGGTTGAATCAGGCGAGGAGACTAGCTCTGGCGGAGGAAGCTGAGAAAACGGCTCAGGGGCGTCATGGGGTAAGTATTGAGGGTCTGCCACTGTAAAGGAAGGCGACAACGGTGAGCTTAACGGATAGCCCACTCCATCTGTAGCCCATTGCTTGTTCAGTGGATTATGTGACGGATTGTGTTGATATGGATTCTGTTGTCTTGATACCAGTGGATGAATGGGCGCAAGCGGATATAAGGTGCGAAACTTGGGCCCTTTGCGCCGGAGCACATCACTGTAGGAGCAAGAAAGAAGCAGGCGTCGACACTTATCGCAGGGCAGCTCGCGCGAACATTTGATCTTACGTCGACGACAGTTGTCGCAGGCTTGCTTGGGGGCCTTTTGCTTGGTGGGGGAAGGATGTGAGTCCATTTGTATGCGGTGACAAGTGTGAGACTCCCGTCAGAAGTTAGCAGTAGCAACAGCAGTGGAGCGAGACTCTGGAGACTTCATTGTATTCTGAGAAAGAGATGATGCTCGCCGGACAAGTTTCGGTGGTCAAGATGGCCACAAGGTGAGCAGTCACCGAGAATCATGCGATTGCTAAAGGAGGGGAGACCAAGGAGAGAAATCTGGGGAAGGGCGGCGGGGAAGCGACACCGTGAGAAAGTCGGCAACTCCAGGCTACCCGGACCCCGCGGTATGAGCCACTTTCTATTAACCTGCTACGACTGGCCTGTTCATTTCGGCCCGTTGTTCGAGCCAAAGAGGCTATCACCTCGACTGGAGCTACTAGTATTTTAGTCCCAGAAAGACTTCCTGGCTTAGTAGGTGGACCCTCCGCCCGAGCCATGACGCGGGTCAGGTATACTCCAGACAGAAGGCCGAAGTCATCTCCTTTAACGGCGAAAGAAGCGTAGGCTGTGCCAGGATATGGTTCACGGAGCCATCATGAAAGATATTGCCTGCAGACGACCCATTCCCTCCGGCGACCCTTTGTGTGTGAGGGTGGTGTGAGATACTATCAGTCGCTTGTTCGGCCTGAAGGATCCATCATTCGACCAAGGATATCATCCATGCGCTACGGAGTACTTTCGGAGAATCAGCACCCCTGCACGAAGCATTGTCATGGTGAATTCCTATGGCAAAAGCTGACAGAGTCTGAGACTCGCTGACGATGGGATTCATGCTAATGATGGACCGGAAGAGCTTTCACGTAACACTGGTGAACAACATCCCACTCGGGAAGCCGAGAATATGTGACCTAGGAATGAGATGATTATCAAAGCCATTAAATGCCTCGCAGTCAGGGCCCCTGGTATGTGTCTTCACTAGTAGATCCCATCTTCATTCGTCCCCGCCTTCAATGCCCTTCATTTTAGGTTTGGAAATCAAGATTGAGTGCCACCTAGTTTTCAAACCAGCCAGCATCGAAAAGTCTGGTGTTGAGATTCTTCACCGGGAGCATTCTGGGGAAGGTGGGAAAGGCGCCGCGCGAAGTGGTCGGGTCGCGATTGTCAACTGGATTGGAGCACAAGAATCGTCAGAGCCGAAGCCCGAATTGAGGGGGTCTCGGTGATTTATCGGGATGAGAGCCAATCAGTGTGCGCTCATCATCTGATTGTCTGGCTGCCAGGCCTCTCAGGCATCAATACGGTACTCGGCAGTATCCACTCCCGTCTCTCCGATGCAACAAATCATCGTTGGAGAATCCCCAAGCTCCCCCCGCCAACTGGGGTCGATGCTTCTCCAGTTGTCCCTCGCCTACAATAAGGTGCTGTACCAGCCCAACAATATCTTCAATCAGGTAGGTGCATGCTCGTTACCTGCCCCATTCTCTTCCTCTTTTTCGGTCATAATGAACTCAATTCGCTCGCTAGCTTTGCCGATTCTCCGCAACCCATAAAAATGTATCTCCGTTTGCCCCTTACACGTCGGGAATTCACCGGCGCAATGAGCCTTCAGATACGGTCGCACAGCGTCATGTCAATAGGAGGCTACTCCTAGTAGTGATGATCCGGTCGCCTCAGCCCAGCTATGTATAAATAACACGAGAATTCCTTGAATACATATGGGTTATATAGCTGCTCCATTCTCATCAATGATAACGCGACCGTGCCTCGTGCCTCTTTAAGCGAGCCATGGTGAAGCTGACCGATCTCCTCGCCAGAGCCTGGCTTGTCCCTCTGGCTTATGGGGCGAGCCAGTCGCTCTTATCCACCACTACCTCTTCGCAGCCTCAGTTCACCATTCCTGCTTCCGCAGATGTCGGTGCGCAGCTGATTGCCAACATCGATGATCCACAGGCTGCCAACGCGCAGTCGGTTTGTCCGGGCTACAAGGCTTCAAAAGTGCAGCACAATTCACGTGGATTCACTGCTAGTCTTCAGCTCGCGGGCAGGCCATGTAACGTATACGGCACAGATGTTGACTCCTTGACACTGTCTGTGGAGTACCAGGATTCGGATCGATTGAACATTCAGATTCTTCCCACTCATGTTGACTCCACAAATGCGTCCTGGTACTTTCTTTCGGAGAATCTGGTGCCTAGACCCAAAGCTTCTTTGAATGCATCTGTTTCCGACAGCGATTTTTCTGTGTCATGGTCAAATGAGCCGTCGTTCAATTTCAAGGTGATCCGAAAGGCTACAGGCGACGCTCTCTTCAGTACAGAAGGCACCGTGCTTGTTTATGAAGACCAATTTATCGAATTTGTAACGGCTCTTCCTGAGGAGTATAATTTGTATGGCCTTGGGGAGCATATCACCCAATTTCGCCTCCAGAGAGATGCTAATCTCACCATATATCCTTCGGATGATGGGACTCCTATTGACAAGTGAGTGCCGATTAGACCCGCATCTTTGGCTCCACTCCTGACACTTACTCTTCCTAGAAACATCTACGGCCAGCATCCCTTCTATCTGGATACGAGGTATTACAAGGGAGACAGGCAAAATGGATCTTATGTTCCGGTCAAAAGCAGCGAGACCGATGCCTCGCAAGACTATATTTCCCTCTCCCATGGTGTGTTTCTGAGAAACTCTCATGGGCTTGAGATACTCCTCCGGCCCCAGAAGTTGATCTGGCGGACCCTAGGTGGAGGAATCGATCTGACATTCTACTCGGGCCCAAACCCGGCCGATGTCACCAGGCAATATCTTACCAGCACCGTGGGATTACCGGCCATGCAACAATACAGTACTCTTGGATTCCACCAATGTCGCTGGGGCTACAACAACTGGTCGGATCTGGCAGACGTTGTCGCGAATTTTGAGAAGTTCGAGATCCCGCTGGAATATATCTGGTGCGTATTGTACCTGTCCATTATGTCTAAAACCGGTCTGACATCTATATAGGACCGATATCGACTACATGCACGGATATCGCAACTTCGATAACGATCAGAATCGCTTTTCCTACAGCGAGGGCGACGAATTCCTCAGCAAATTACATGAGAGCGGACGCTACTATGTACCCATTGTTGATGCGGCACTCTACATTCCTAATCCCGAAAATGCCTCTGATGCGTAAGTGTACCATGTCAACCTATATAGCTGTCCATGTGCTAATAAGCAATACAGATACGCTACATATGACAGAGGAGCTGCGGATGACGTCTTCCTCAAGAACCCCGATGGTAGCCTCTATATCGGAGCCGTCTGGCCAGGATATACAGTCTTCCCTGACTGGCATCATCCCAAGGCAGTGGAGTTCTGGGCCAACGAACTGGTCATCTGGTCGAAGAAAGTGGCGTTCGATGGAGTGTGGTACGACATGTCTGAAGTTTCATCCTTCTGTGTCGGGAGCTGTGGCACCGGGAACCTGACTCTTAACCCGGCACACCCACCATTCCTGCTCCCCGGTGAGCCCGGCGATATCATATATGACTATCCGGAGGCTTTCAATACTACCAACGCTACAGAGGCGGCGTCAGCGTCGGCGGGCGCTTCCAGCCAGGCCGCAGCAACCGCAACTAGCACGTCGACCTCGGTGTCATATCTGCGCACAACGCCCACGCCTGGTGTTCGCAATGTGGAGCACCCACCCTATGTAATCAACCATGATCAAGAGGGCCATGATCTCAGCGTCCATGCAGTGTCGCCAAACGCGACCCATGTTGATGGTGTTGAGGAATATGATGTACACGGTCTTTACGGGCATCAAGGATTGAACGCTACCTACCATGGTCTGCTTGAGGTCTGGTCTCATGAGCGGCGACCATTTATCATTGGCCGCTCAACTTTCGCTGGCTCTGGCAAATGGGCGGGCCATTGGGGCGGTGACAATTATTCCAAATGGTGGTCCATGTACTACTCCATCTCACAAGCCCTTTCCTTCTCGCTCTTCGGCATTCCCATGTTTGGTGCGGACACCTGTGGGTTTACCGGAAACTCGGATGAGGAGCTCTGCAACCGTTGGATGCAGCTGTCCGCATTCTTTCCATTCTACCGAAACCACAATGAGCTCTCCACAATCCCACAGGAGCCTTATCGGTGGGCTTCTGTTATTGAAGCGACCAAGTCCGCGATGAGGATCCGGTACGCTATTTTACCTTACTTTTATACGTTGTTTGACCTGGCCCACACTACGGGCTCCACTGTAATGCGCGCACTTTCCTGGGAGTTCCCCAACGACCCAACTTTGGCTGCGGTTGAGACTCAATTCATGGTTGGGCCGGCCATCATGGTGATTCCGGTATTGGAGCCTCTGGTCAATACGGTCAAGGGCGTATTCCCGGGGGTTGGACATGGCGAAGTGTGGTACGACTGGTACACCCAGGCTGCAGTTGATGCGGAGCCCGGAGTCAACACGACCATCTCGGCACCATTGGGCCACATCCCGGTTTATGTACGAGGTGGAAACATCTTGCCGATGCAAGAGCCAGCATTGACCACTCGTGAAGCCCGGCAAACTCCCTGGGCTTTGCTGGCCGCACTAGGAAGCAACGGAACCGCGTCGGGGCAGCTCTACCTCGATGATGGGGAGAGCATTTATCCCAATGCCACACTTCGTGTGGGCTTCACCGCATCACGGTCAAGCCTGCGCTCTTCAGCGCAAGGGAGATGGAAAGAAAGGAACCCGCTTGCTAATGTGACGGTGCTCGGAGTGAACAAGGAACCCTCTGGGGTGACTCTCAATGGACAGACAGTATCGCCAGGATCCATCACATACAACTCTACGTCGCAGGTTCTGTTCGTTGGGGGGTTGCAGAACTTGACGAATGGCGGCGCATGGGCGGAGAACTGGGTGCTAGAATGGTAGTGTCAGACACAAGCCAGGTGTGCGCGTACAGTATGCAAGATAGGTAGGGCAGTTAATGTCCTGCAATGTAGGTATTTGGTTAGAATTAGAATCAAAATTCTAACATCAACCTTTGTTTTACCGCCCACCACGGCATTCCTGCATGACTATGTTCTGTAAACGGGCCTGACAATACCCAGCCGTTGACGAGTCACCAAGGAAGGTACTCTTTCTGACGCGCAGCTCTGTATAGTAGTTGCCAAAAAGGCCGCCGGGAAGGAAACCGCCGGCCTGTGGCCACTATTCGCTGAGAACCCCTGCCAGTCAACGACATCCGCCCATGATCGCCAGGGCCCGATGGAATTCCCCCGCATCTTTATCCGTTTATAGGTGGAGTCTTTCATTCCCATCTAGCTGATGGTCGGGCACATCGTTAATAGGCAGCCTAGTTTCCAAGACACGGAGACGCATGTAATCGCTATTTATAGAGTGCTGGGATCGGACCCGTCGAATAGTCTTCCGATAGTAAGTGACAACTCACATTGTCATGTTGGCCTTACTCAATCCAAAGGAACTGACCGGCTTTGGATAGCCTAGTATAAATCATATCATCCACCCTTCATTAGAGCGAATTGCTCCTCAAATATAGTTATAGACTTGGAGAAACTGACCAGAAGAATGACGATCATTCTGTTCTTCCTCAGTTTGTTGGCCACTGTTCTGGCAGCCACGCCTGCAGAATGGCGCTCCCAGTCGATCTATTTCCTGCTGACCGATCGCTTTGCGCGAACTGATAATTCTACCACTGCTTCGTGTGATTTGAGCGCCCGGGTTAGTCGCAGCGTGAGCTAGATCTTGCAAATGACCCGCTGACAAACGTAGCAATATTGCGGTGGATCCTGGCAGGGCATCATCAATCAGGTCGGTCCATCATCATTGCAACACTATCTCTATCAACATCTGTTTGGGAATCTAACATTCTTTAGCTGGATTATATCCAAGGAATGGGCTTTACAGCGATCTGGATCACACCAGTAACTGAACAGATCCCCCAAGATACCGGTTACGGACAGGCATATCACGGATACTGGCAGCAGGATGCGTGAGATGTTACTCCTATCACCCCAGTGCATGTATTTCCTTCTTACCATGCAGACAGTTACGCCCTCAACTCCCACTATGGTACAGCAGACGATCTCAAAGCTCTGGCTTCAGCTCTCCACTCACGGGGCATGTACCTCATGGTGGACGTCGTTGCCAATCACATGGTATGTTCTCGGCCCCCAAGAAATTTCGCTTCATATCTGACAACGATAGGGTCACAATGGCACGGGAAACTCTGTGGACTACAGTGTCTATAGGCCATTTAACTCGCAAAAGTACTTTCACAACCTCTGTTGGATCTCTAATTACAATAATCAGACAAACGTTGAAGACTGCTGGCTAGGCGATAACACCGTTGCTTTGCCGGATGTTGACACTACCCGTACGGATGTGAAGAATATGTGGTATGACTGGGTCGAGTCGCTTGTCTCTAACTACTCCGGTATTTCTACCGTTGCTTCACTATCGGCTATCATTGATAGGACAAAGACTAACAGACATCAAGTCGACGGCCTCCGTATAGACACAGTCAAGAACGTTCAGAAGAACTTCTGGCCCGGCTACAATAATGCTTCAGGCGTATATTGTATCGGAGAAGTCTTTGATGGAGACGCCGCATATACCTGTCCTTATCAGGATGACTTGGACGGAGTGCTCAATTACCCAATGTAAGCCCTACATATAACCCCAATGAATGCTCGCCAATGACTTGCAAAAGGTACTATCCGCTCCTCCGCGCTTTCGAATCCACCAACGGCAGTATCAGCGACCTCTATAACATGATCAACACCGTTAAATCCACCTGCAGGGATTCTACGCTTCTGGGGACTTTCGTTGAGAACCACGATAACCCTCGCTTCGCCAAGTAAGTATCCCCTTCCGACTTCATCGTAACGAGCATATTATCTTACCCCCAGAAGCTACACAAGCGACATGTCCTTAGCCAAAAATGCCGCAACATTCACCATCCTAGCCGACGGAATCCCCATTATATACGCCGGTCAGGAACAGCACTACAGCGGCGGCAATGATCCCTACAACCGCGAAGCGACGTGGCTCTCGGGCTACAAGACCACCAGCGAGCTCTACGCGCATATCGCCACATCGAACAAGATCCGTACCCACGCTATAAGCCAAGACAGCGGATATCTCACCTACAAAGTGAGCCACCATTGAGCCCTTGCGTTGCGTAGTGCATCTAACTGTGGAACTCTATCGCAGAACTACCCGATTTACCAAGACACCTCGACTCTTGCCATGCGCAAAGGCTACAACGGCACCCAAACCATCACGGTTCTTTCCAATCTCGGCGCCTCTGGGTCCTCGTACACTCTCTCCCTCCCGGGAACAGGCTACACCGCTGGTCAAAAGGTCATGGAGATATATACCTGCTCGAATTTGACAGTCGACTCAAATGGCTCGGTGCCAGTCCCCATGAAGAGCGGATTACCACGGATCCTCTATCCCGCAGATAAGTTGGTTTATGGAAGCTCATTTTGCAGTTAGTTCTTACCTATCTGTTTGATAAAGCCATGTTTATATGCGTGTCCTTCACATACATTGTTCGTGAATTGATAAATTGACACATCCGCACAGGTTCCGCGATAAGCGTCCTCAAGCATGCAAGGGGAGTAATGTTGTTCTTGAGCTACACTGTGTAAGTGTATCAATCACTAAAAGTTGGCCTCCGTGATCGTGATCTAGATGCTGACATTGATTTGTAGGGTTTTCGCTCAGGTGCTTATTGCTATAATGACGTGATTGGGATGTCTCAGTGTGCCTTGTCCTTTTACTATATTTTAATAGGCGACGGAATGATTCTATGTGTAATAGATTCTTCAAAAACATTTTATATAATTAAATAGTATCCATATCCTTTTGCATGTAGGGTGGATAAAATATATACCACCGACGTAGTAATATTACCTAGTCCTTAGTGCTTCAAAGCCAAGGTCAGTCACTACAACCACACGAAACAACGGATTAAACTTAACTACTACTATCATCAACACCAGCCAATTTCTGCAACAGACCAACAATAAATTCAATCTCAACCAGCCTCTAAGCACAATAAAATATAATCCACCCATGGACTTACAGAAAGAATAATAGCAAAGAAAAGGTACAAGAAAAAAAAAAGAAACGCCTACTTTCCTCCATCGAGTATCTTCATCCGAATACAGCCCATCTACGGGCGGGGCAAGCGAGATGACAAGACGACCTACTATCTGCAGCATCAATCAATCCCTCGATCATCCTGTCAAATCCCCCAAAACAGTAGTGACTTAGTAACATGATAATACCAACTAAGTAACAAACTACTCTACTCCAAAATATTAAATTAAATTAAATAATATGAACAAGAAAAAAAAAAAGTTTATCCCTCTAACCACACCCCTCATATTGGCTCTTGCCCTCTCCTTCCCCCTACTACTTACTCTCTCACACCCCTTTCTCTGCATAGATAGATAGATAGATAGATAGTTAGGTAGTGATCGACTTATAAGAATAACTAGTAAGTAATATTCTCGACCCCCTCCCACTACCCCCTCCTCATACCTCGTTGGTTAGTGACTGACTGACTGACTGATTGTATTGCAGTGCAGCAGTGCAGTGCAGCAGCCACCGCATCATCATCATCATCATCATCATCTACTACCGGGGAGGGGAGTGAAGTGGAGTGGAGTAAAAGGGGGGGTCAAAGAAACATACTACTATTATGTACTTACCCGATCGATCGGAGAATTATCTATCTTCTATTTTCTCTTTTTGATGATTAACTAGTACACTTTCCTTAAATGTACTGACTTGACAATAGTAGTAGTTCAGTTGTACAGATTGGTTCCTTGCTCGTGCCCCTCTCCCCTCTCCCTCTGGGTCCTACTAGGAATGACATGGAATGTTCAAGTTGTTGTCCTCCGCGGAAGCACGGAACGGTCCGAAAAGGAGGATAGGATAGGATAGGATAGGATAGGATAGGATAGGATAGGATAGGATAGTAATAGGCAGGTGTCGGAGATTTATCCGATTAGGAAATGGTGGCTGGCTGGGGCCTACTGCAGCCTGGTGGTCTGTGGTAGGAGTAAGTAGTAAGTAGTTTGGCATGTGAAGGTAACTGTTGTAAATTGCAAGGAAAAGCAAGCGGCACTGCACTCGCTCACTTACGTGATGATTCGTGGCACGGGCCCCTCTAACTAAATAGGACTGTGCAGGAAGGCAACTGAACTAACTAAATAAGTAACTACCTGATGGATCCGGCGGTAGTGGTAGTGGTAGTGGTGGATCGTGGATTAAAAAATATTATTTTATCTTTGTTTGTTTAGTGCCAGGCCTTGGATATTATCATTTTCGTTGCACGTCATCATGCTAGGTTCAGCCCAGTCCATGGGCAGAAACTAAATCACCACACCACTGCAGGCAGGTTATCCCTGGTAGTACTACTGCTACTACCATACCCACCCCACCTATGTCCATCTCCTGCTTGACCTCATTGAATCACTTACAGCGTCGCTGACCGATACGCTGCTAGCCCAGTCACAGGCATTCCGTTGAGTATCCCATCCGGAAAAGAACTCGGCATGACTTCTGGTATCAGTTGCTCGAAGCCGTACCCCTCGATCATGCCATCCATGAGCGGTGGCATGAACGGCGCTTGACCCATGCTCATCTTACGACTGTCGCCGTAGGATGATAGCGGAGACCCTTTGACCGTGGACGACGGATCATTGCATTCCGCACTGCTACATCGCCGCTTGAACTCGGCGACCATGCACGAAAACCGGTATGCGATATGGTCTTCGTTGGGCGCGAGATGCAGCAGGAACATCTGCACCTGCTCGATAAGCGGGTCCATGAGGTTGAAATCACACAAATTCAGAGCAGCGTAGCCGACAATGAAGTAGACCTGGTCGACAAGGCTCAATGCGGTAGAGTACCGGATCTGGAGGAATCGCGATATGATCAGACGTGAGGTTTGCAGAACCTCAGATGCGAGCCTGTCGGATCTGGGCTGAAGCCTCATTGCTGTGCGGTGAAGGAGTGTCTGGCAGAACCAAAGGCTCAGCTCCAATGTGGAACTTTCACCAGCTGTTTCTCTCGTCAGTGGTAGTCCCCGGGAAACACTGGCAGGCTTCTTACAGAAAAGGTGAGCCCATTCCCTTTTCCATCGCTCGATTTCCTCATAGTCAAGGTCCGCCAACCGCATTCGACTGCTATTGCTCTGGAGCCGCAATGTAATTAAATAGAGCTGTATTTCCGCGACAACCCTGGCGTCCTCCAAGGTTGCTGCGGGGTGCTCTAGTATCCGTGGGCAGTGATCAAGGTATCTCTGCTGGATATGGAATGGACGCGCATTGCCGACCGCAAAACTAATGCGTGTTAGCTATATTGGGGACAGGAGGTATCAGATGGAACCCACTGTAGCTGTGTCAAGCAATATGTATTCCATAGCCGCAGCTGCGCAGCCGTTTCATTGTCCACCACAACTTCCGAGGGCGCATAGTTTATAAACTCAAGCGCAATAATCGCATGGTTGATTGAGATGCCACTCAACAGCCAGCTGTCCATGGGTGGCTCTTTCTGGGCGGTTGCTGGCCAGAGACAGAGAAGTGCAAGTGCTTGGAGGGTCTCATACTTCAGGGGAGGTTTCTCCCACAAGATGTTGACTACCGCATGTCGCACTTGAAGATATAGAGCATGCACAGCAGACGCTGGTATCCCCGGGACATAGCGTGAAGCTAGAAGGCATGCAGTATTATACAGTAGAGAGTCGGGGGCTTTCATGTCATTGTGGATATCGGAGAGATTGTAAATAGAAACGCAGGCACCGAAGTGATCGACAAACCTGATTTGCGCCAAGTATTAGCAGCTATCTTGGTAGTTGTCTATCAGGTATGCTCATACGTTTGCAACAATTTGAGGGATAGTTTGGAGTCGATAGCGCCCTTGGCGGCACCGTCACTGGAGAGGGGAGAGTCAACGGGGGAAGTCTCTGCTTCTCCGAAGAAGTCGGACTGGAGGTCCTGAATGAGGCGAACGGGTTTAGGCAGGAAGGGAGACGACGGGCTTCCCTCCATGGAGGCAGTATCATCCGTCATGATACTTTTTGACAAGTGCGGAATTGAAGTATTTGCGAAACCTGGGGAGTGATCTAGCATCTGCCGCATCATGCCCGTCATCTCCCTCATGGATCGTTCTAGGGAGTTGAGGCGCTCCTCAATGGAGGGAATTGCCGAGGTGGCGTCTGGCCACATCGCAGCACTGTCTTGGAACCGATCGGTCGTTTCTGGCAGCTTACAATCGATTCTAAAGAAATCGTGGACTGTCAGCATAATCGGGACAGTTACACCCCACGACTAAATTCATGTCGCGCCCAATAAGACAAACAAAATTCGAAATGGCAGGTATGAGTTGCTACTGACCTTAGAGATAGACAGCGACGGCACGCATGACCGCGCGGATCTAGATCACATCTTGTTTTAAGCTTCCGACATGTGTGACAGGCAGTCATGGATCGTCGTATCCGGCCTTTCGGACGAGCTGTGTCGGAATGGGGAGCTAGTCGCCTGCCATCCTCGGCAACGTCCAAGCTCTTGTGCTCCCATGAAGAAGGGGTCTCGTATTTGATCTCGTCCACGGTGCGAGTCATGTCATCAAACGAAGTCCAGTTTGGACCAATTGATGGCAGGCAATTTGGAGAGTAGGGTAGAGTATAGACCAAGAGGGCAAAAGAGGCAAAAAAGCAGTAGAATAATTACTACGCGCAGGCCATCGAGGGGCGGGCAGGTGGAGAGACGAATAGTGCCTTTTAACAGTTGGCGGCCAACCCTGGAAATGGGATTGTGCTCGCCAGCTGGGAATTGACGAAATTGGCTTTGGTTAGATTGGTTATGGGTCCGTCCAGTCCGTTCTTGACCTGGGGTAGACGCTAAATGACGGCAGCACAGCAGCCAGCCAATCCATGTCCCTGCAGGTCTTCTAGAAAGATAGAAACAATGGGTCGCGATACTGGCCAGTCACCCTGGCAGGGGGTCTGATTGGCATGCGCTATGGTATTCTCCGAGTCTCCGATGTAAACCGGATCGTAACTAAATCCCGCTGCTTCCAGGGAGGGGGGTTGGGACCAAAATGACGCCGGTGGAAAGTGGGAAATTAGTGAGGAACTGCCGCTGAAGTTTGGCGTTGATTTGCTCGGTTCCCTGCTTATCATGAAGATATGGATCGGGCGGAAGTCCAGGATAAGAAGGTCAGTAACTCGCGTGTATCTTTGGCTGATGGTCTTTTGGAACTGATGACGGCTTTTCTTTTTCCTTTTTTGTTTTTCTTTCCGTTTTTCCCTCATTAGAAAAAAAAATAATAATAGTAATAAACAAAATTAGCTTTTTATGATCGCTCCTCCAATTTCTCCTCTCCCCTTATCCGTTCCAAATTGATGGTCAGGCATGACAGCGGTTGGAGATTGACGGGGAGAAAGTAACCGCGTGAACCAAGGGAAAATCAAAAAGCGATCATGTAGATCTTAACGAGAAGGAGTTTCTCTCGACAAGACCATAGCGACTGACCATAGGTAATTACCTTATAAGATTCCTCAAATGGTCTTTCTACCACCAAGGAGAGAAAAAATTTTCCTCATGTCTCATCTCTACACTTGAACGGCGCATCCTGCAATGCGACATAGAATGCCTGCGCTGGCGGCTATCACCGGAATTATTGTTGGACTGTTAGCAAGGATGCACGTTGATATTATCACATCCATGTCTAGACCCGAAGCCAGAAAAGCATAGTCTATGCAGGTCCAGCGTTTGTGGTGCCAGTGTGCCCAGGCGTCTTCCACAACAGCAGCCCGTGGGGGATCCTCAGGAATGATTCGAGCCACCAGGATCATGGCGGAGCTCCTACTGGTCCACTCCATCCCTGTTGTTATGTCCGTACAATGCTTTTAGATCATACCGTCTTTTTCCTCCTTATCACATCATTCCTTATCATATGTTCACAATCCGGGACGGAGGAGGCATATTGGCTGTTGACCCATAATCGACAGGCACCCGCGTTAAGGTCAGCAGAAGTGGTGGACCCAGCACGCGGTGGAGCCCGGGTTGTCTGAGCAAGGCTTGTCTTCGGGGGAGTGGTCGAGCTCTCTGGGGCCTTCGACACAGATATCACACACACCACAGCGAATCAGCAACCCCTCATTAGTAACTAGTTGGTTTCGCAATAAAGACTAGTATCGCAATCTAGGCTTGCTTCAGGCCCAAATTTGCTGCTTCTTGATTTTTGACAAGTGCAATGATGGGGCTTGAATATTATTCCGTCTGTTGTTAAGCATTGCAAGTAGTAGGGACACCCTGAACCTCGGCTTCACGGCCGTTAGGTCATTTTGGGAATGGGGCGCGTCGGCTCGCAGCGCCGGATCCATAGTACAAGGCACAATTTGGTTAGCGCTTGCCAATTACCGTTCCTCTCTCCTGCTCCAGGATTCCACTTCCAGGCGCCAGTAGGCAAGAAGGGCGGGTGAGGGGGTGGGAAAGTAAAATGGCAACCAACAGTGCGCTTTGTATCGGTGAATGGTGCCATTCCAAGTTGCTTTTTCCACCTTCCTGAGATGGTCCAGTAGGAAACTCTGATGGGAGTAACCAACCATCGGAGGTCGACGAGGCTAGCCGTGCGTTCCCCACTGGCCTGATAGAATGGTTGCATTCGGGAATGAGTGGCACATGTCTCACTTGTTAGTTATCATGAAATGATGTGTCAATGTTTTAACGTTATTAGCCATGAACACACTCAACACGAGAGACCAACGATAGAGGCAATTTCTCCGTACTCCGGACCACTTTGTTGTTCATATTCTTCATTGGAAGGCATTTGAGAATCGGATATCTCCGAATCACCAGGTCGTAGAAGTCCGTATCCCACCCTTATCGAAGCCGTACCTGCAGCTAATTAACTCAGCTTATTAAGATCACAATGAACTGTTCGGCGGCTTTGATTTCGGAAGGCCCAAGAAGGAACGCCGAGTATATCCTTGCTCACCTCATACGCTAAGTTTTAGTAACCTCTGGAATCGCCTGTCCATGGCTATTCCCGGCTGCAGGTTAATATCGGATGGCGGTTCGGCCACTAGACACGTCGTCATCGGAAGACGTAGGCTCTCAGGCAGGATATTCAGGAGAGTTCAACGGCCAGACCATAATCCCTGCGAACATGGTTGATAGGAACAGACTGAGAGTTGGCAATCGTAGGCATGTGTTCATGAGTATGCCGAGGAAGTAAAGGAGGGGAGCTGGTAGAAGATGAGGCAGCGACGATCCAGGAAGTTCTTTGTAGACACATGATCGCCGGTCATGCCTTAGGCTCAGTTTGTCTGTTTTGTCTGCTTTGCTCGTTGCCGGAAATCTAGTGGCGTTTTTTTTTTTCGCAGTCAAGCAACTTTCCTCTGCATTCTCCTTCATCCAAAGTCACTTCTGCTCTCAATTGAAGCCTCACATCCACCAAGAAGAGCAGATGGTGTCCACTTTATATATGCCAATGCTACGGTTCCCCCCTGGCCCCTTCCAAGTGCTCCATAACATGTCTGGAAATTAGGTACACAGAAGCAGCACCTAGCCACAGGTCAACTCCACGAGCGGCAACCGTCGGCTCAGCGGCAAGACACGGCATCGTGGCCGGAGTACCTGCCAAACTCCGTAGCTGAGGTTGCATAGGGGTTAATTACACCCTGGTCCGTTCTTCACAACCAAGCATTACTCCTTCCTCTCTCTCTCCATTAGCGAAGACACGCCTCTTCGAGCTCGCATCCAAGCGTCCGCCATCACTGTATCCGCCTCCAGATGTGCGGGAAGTGGATAACCCGGTTACTCGGGATGACTCCACGGGCTTCGCGTCGATCACGCCGCAAATCTTGTACATCTGCGCTTGTCAAGTCAGGAATGATAGTCGGACTATCAGATAGCCAAGCAAAGCTTGGCCTTCTGGTTGACGCGTGCAGAACAATGCCGAAGACCGGTAGGCCCGTGGAGGTTTAGTCGTACTGCACACTACCTTGTGCGAACCGGAATCTTGCCGATGACCCTGTGGGCTTCTAGCCAGTTCGAGAAGGTCCACAACGCCAGACACGTTTATTCATTGCAGCAACGTCGGACTACCGATCCGATACCGCTTCCAGATGGCCCCAGGAATGGGAGCGCAGGCTGCGTGCAGAATTGCTGCCTCGTGTCATGACCGATTGGTCCATCATGGGAGATTAGCCCAGATCTTATTCGTTGTCTTGTCCAAGATAGAAGTGGCCATAGCCAGGCAGACTTGATGTATGATTGGCCATTCTTGGATTATGCTCATTTAGTCGAGAAGAACACATGGCCACTCATGTATCCCGGATCAAGGATGGGTCGACGCAATATCCGCGCTACCCTGACACAGGGCAATCACCGATATGCCGTTGGCTCTTCAGAGTAACCCCAGACGGAGGCCTGCATATTTCCGGGGCCACTAACATCTATAGGATAGCAGGCTTCGCTCGTCAGTCGTCCTATCAACTGCTGATACCTTCCCGGGTGGCACCGAGCATTCTCGGGTACCGGTAGCGCTATTGGACCCTGGCAATTGTTTCCACAGTGTCAAGCGGATGTGCATACCCGTTGGGAGTGAAGTGGCGCCAATCTAATATCCGGCAGCAGAACTATAGTCGGACAGAGACTATCCTATTTTCGTGGCCGGTCCAGGTGAGCTATAGTGGCGCTTACGATCTTACCCGGTACCTGATGCCCGCAGGCGATTGGGACACAGGTATACCGCCGTAGTGTTATGATAAGCTTAGCTTCCACGATTCGTATGTGCTCGGGCCGAGTCTTTACTTTTCACATGCCCAAGCCATAGCTAGTTAGCTCAGGATGTGTCACCAACATGGCATGTGGCACAGACACTCCTTTATACACAATGCTTTCGTATGACGCAGGGTGTATGATTACCCATCGACATTCTAAACAGACAGAATTAATAACTAGTAGTCGAACTCGGCCCCTTTATATGAATTTGATCTAAGAGAGGTACCTGTCTCCTCCAGAGCACCCACTGATATCCCATGTACACACCATACCAAGTGCCACCAATATTAAAACAGAACCAACCAAGACCTCTTATATTTTGAGCCCAAAAACAAAAAACTTCATTATATAATATATTGATTTACCCTATACTTCCTCAATTCGACCATTGCTACTATCTCCCAATCACTTCATCTCAACGTGACGATATAAACCTTATAAAATTTTCTTCATCCTTCATCCTAGTAACCTATCACTTTAACAACATTCATAATTCACATCAAACAAAGAATCATATCCCTGAGCCATTTAAAAGCTTACCTTACCAATCAATGAATTCGTCCAGTCAAATCTACTTGAAACATCCAAACAGACTAGTAGTATCTATGTAGATATCGAAACCCTCTAAAGTACTGCGTACAGATAACACTCTCAACCCATCTTATAAAGCTACTACATGGTATCATAGATCTAGATAACTCCTGATAATAAATAACACCTTCGATTTTCATCCTTTCTCTCCTCTTTATCGACCAAGCTCACCTCTTCAAATCTGTAACGGAATGAGCAAATAATACTGTTTACTACAACATTACTTTACTATACATATTTCCGATCAAGTCACGAACCTCTATACATCATTCCAACTACTGTGATTACTTATTCAATTCAAGGATCTTAATTCATCCCCTCGGTTATTTTAAAAAGGGACCATTGTAGATTGTAATTAGGTCAGATATACTACTACATACAATCATATCCAACTACTTCCTATCCCTATTTCGAATAAAATATTCAACAAAAGCAAGCTGAATGCGAACGTGATACTGAGTGTCTTCTCCTCGAGGCGCTAGCTAACTTCGACTCTGCCATGAAGAATATTCCATTCAACTACTATTAGTTAGTAGTCCATATCAGACTGATTGATATCAGAGTAAGGGAGGATACAGAAAGCAGATGACATCCATACGCCCCAGACAGATAGACATGCTATCTAACCCACCATCAAAATGCTATATCACTACAGATAAAAAGATAACTCAACTTCATCTGAATGACCAAACCTGACTTCGAATACAGCCGAAAGCGGGATGAGTTCGATGAAATCCCACAACCATCAACCATCCCTACATAACAAACTCCCATGGAACTCACATGAAACCGAACCACCATCATCATCCCATTCCATCCCCTTTTCCCCAAGCTCTCTCGCCCCAACATCTTCCACGTTACATGATACAAAACTGAAAAGAGGGAACCGTTGATCGAAATTCATCACTACTACTACGGAGTACTACCATCATGCCCATCCACCCATCCATCCCTTTGCAAACCCCACACATACATAACAAGGGCCAGAACTACTGTATCTAGCTTCCTAACTAGCTAACTTTGCCAACAATAAAGTTTCCTGCCCAAAAAAGCAAGATTTATGTTTTTACCCCCCAAAGAGGGAGAACTACATACCCTATAAGATCAAGATAACCCAGGAAACAAATCAAGGGAGAGAGAAAAGAGGAGCAAACATCCACTAAACCCAATTCCATAACTTAGTGTCTGGTTCGGGTTTTAAAGTTGGTTTTGCGAAGTTAGCAAGGTAAAACCCATTACCCTCGTGTCTCAGTCGGATAAATTATCCAGCCTATGTGTGTCACCTTGACGGTGGCAAACCATTTTTCATCACACAACATAAGCAATAACACGTAGGTCGTTGCCTGTTTGGGAATGGAGATGAGGCGGGGGGGGGGGGGCGGCGGTCCCAAGACTATTTAACATGGTATAGGCGCCAGCGCACGCATGCAAATGGGGAGAAATCAGCGATGCAGCAGTAGTAGTAGTAGTAGTAGTAGCAGCAGCAGAAACCCTTGGATGATATCAGGAGGCAGGGAGTTAGTGGGAAATGAGGAGTAAACGCACAGGGCGCTGGATGAACCATGGTACTCATGCATTCCATGGCATGCGCCCGTAGGGCTAGGGTTGAACAAGAATGAGAAAGGAGAAGCAACTATTTTAATTCGAAAAAGGAAAAGGGGGCCAGCAAGATGCAATATGAATCTGTTGTCATACCTAGTAAGTTTATGAAGGAGCTCCTCCACCATATCACATACAGATAGACAGGCAGGTAAGTAATGAACGACCTGCAGATCTAGCTTGCAGTTCGCCTCAGACATGTCGACATATGTATGCATATATGTCGGTTTGGTATGGGGTATACGTACGCACATTGAGTGCACATACAACACACACAGACACACGACACTCAACCTCCACACCAGACCAGAGTCTGGGCAAAGACTCCAGCCAACGGATTGATCGCCTTGTATCAGTATGTCAAATCCCGAGTCCCCGGATTGCATTTGGGTACGAACACAAGCCACCGTGACTGACATACATGCAAGTGGGTAGTGGCTAACACCCGGGATGCGAACTTGCATGACGGCCAACTAAACACGCCAGATGGGGGGATGAGTTTGGTCCTCATCGGTGGTTACTTCCGCCCGATAAATGGTCTCTCGGATTTCCGCAGCAGGTAAAAACTTACCATGAAGGGAGGGGAAAGGCCTGTCAGACCGTCAGGCAATGCAATTCAGGTGCCTAAATGCTTAGTTTTTTCTGAGACGTCATTCGTCAAGGGACGACAATCCCGACTGTGCAGCTGAGAGGACCGAGCGTTGCACACTCGCCTTCCAGTCGGACTGGATCGGGCAGAGCTCCATGGGTAGTATAACATGTCGCAGCTCTGGGAAGGGCTATGGCCCTGGATTGGTTGGGAGGAATCAGGGATGGCGCGTGCATTAGTCCATATCCACCTACATTTCGTACATAGTCCCATGTACCCGGTACAGACGATAGGCTCCGGAAATGCTCCTTTAGGCGCTGACGCCAGGCCTGTGGCTGGTGTGCGTGTGTGGCGAGGCGATTCTGTAGGCATCGCGGTTCTTGCACGCAGTGGGGGTCTCCCAACCGGTTAATGCAGTTATCAAGCCGCGAGGAGTTCCTTACTGACTCACACCTTGCAGCATGGAGATAATATCCCACGGCCAGGGGGTGGGAAAAGTGATCCGCGGCATCCTGGCGGGGATGCTCGGTGATTAAAATCGTACAGCAGTCACAGAGCCAACAATATTCAGCAAATGGCACTAAATTATTGACCTTCAATGTCGATCCTCTCTCTCCTCATACTAGGGAAAGGGAGATCTGCCGCACCAGAGTGGGGTGCAGCTGGGTGGTTTCCAGGTTTTCGCTGCATCGATGGGTGAATACTTCGCGACGGACTTGCAATCGGTCGGTCGCATGTACAGATACAGGAAGAACCTTCAAGTCCAGGGCGAGGGATGATGATAGGCTGGCTGACCTGCCGACCTGTCTTCATCTTCTGATCGGGGATCAGGGCTAGGACGGGTGTCATGCAATACCTCTTCGTATTTCTTCATGCCCATCTGCATCCCCTCGACCGTTGAGCTGTCGTGTCAAAGCAGGCCCTGACTCGAGCTGCGTTCCTGTCAAGGCACATCCTGTGTAGCATCCTCCCCCCCTCCTCCAGTAGAATGCCGCCCATCCTTGATCCGAGCGACCCCCCCTCGCTTTGAAAGGTGACATCCGGAGTACCTGGGATCCCCATGCGCGGCAGCCAGATTCACCGCCATGTGATAGATCGGATAGATCCTGGTTTCTAAATCGTTTCCTCTCCTCTCCCTCACCTCCTCCCCCGTGCTTCGTGCAGCTGGGGTCAAGCCCTGTGCCACAGTCGACAAGCCTGATCTGCTTCTCCAATGGTCTCGGAGGCATGTTCCGCCCGTCCGCCTGTCTCTGGCTTGCAGGGATTTCCGTGCCGGTGACCGTTGGGAAAGAAAAAAGAGGGGCCCAAGAAGACCAGCCTCGAGTGTCTCCATGCAACAGTAACGCTGCGTGTGTGCGTGTGGCTCATGAGACCTGATGGACGGACAATGGGTCGGCCCCCTCCCTTTCAGTACGATTTGATACGGAGTCCAAGGGTCGACCTACGTACGCCCGCACAGACGTCCAAGATGACCTCCTCGGGTGATCCAGGATCCCAAGGCCGCCTTACCGCAAGAGCTGGCCGAATAGCAAAAAGCGCTCGCGCCCGTCTGAGAGTCCGAACGCTTGACAAGCAGCAGCGCCCATCCAACGACGTCGAACGGCCTCCCTGCAACAACTGGGCTTGGACTATCCACGAGGCGCACTTCTCGGTAACTGGCACTTGGCGATCTAGCCGTCCCGACTGGCCGGAACCAAAATTTAGGCCTTTGTAGTTCTTCTCATGACGTGTGACAGCACGCCTCCCGCCTGTCCTTTCCGGCGCTCACCGCAAGGCTAGAGGCTATGAGTGGCCTTTCAGGGTGGGCCGATTCCAGTGTTGCATGCGTCTCACAATGGTCTTCAACCCATGGATCTTCCGGATCAGAATTGCGAGAGCGGTTCCATGGTTTTCTTACCGCCCACCAGGGGACTATCTGAGAATGAGTTGGCTCCTCCATTCCTCGAACGATCGCCTCATGCGGTGGTGGGCCTAACAAAACCTGCACCAATGGATTTCCGTCAAGCCACAGTGCAGCCTTGGGTAAGGGTTTGTGACGAATGCCAGAAATGCACGGTACCGCCCGGATGTGAGATGAGGGAACCTTAACCAGCCCAACCATGGTCTGTTTTATAAGGAGGGCCGGGAAATGTATGAAAAGGGTAAATGAAGAAGAGTAAAAAAAAGAGAGAAAGTGCGAGTCAATGCGGACTTTCCAAAATGGAGCCTATATGGGTAATAACCAATGTTCTCAATTTTTGTCTAATTCCAAAACCTGAGATGACCTCCCAAAATTGTAAGCAGAAAATGAAAAGGAAAGACAGTCTAACTTGACATGGTCACATCATCCGTACTTATACTGTACAAAAAGTCATGCATATGCTTGATCCTCATCTCCAAGTGAAACCCATCACAACCGATTTGCAAGTGTAAGCGCGCCAAAAGAACAAAAGGAAACACGTTGATCTAGTATAGAAAGACAGAACATAGGAAATTAAGATAGCCGATAAAATGACCAAAAACACCTAGAGATGCAATATCGCAATAGGCAGCCATGATGCGGGAGGCAAGGGCGCACAGGTGAGGAACCGCACATCTCAGCAACTGCCATTCCAAACCGTGCTCCCAGCCACATAGACCCTGTAATGTTGAAGCCATGCACGATAATTATAAAGTCGATTAGATAAACGGTAGAGGGTATCAAGAGCGGTTGTCCATCTCACTCGGCTCGTCGTAGAATTCTTTGATGATCAAAAAGAAAGATTAAAGATGGGTGTGGTGGCGAACTCTCGTGTCTAATTGGTTCTTGGTATCCCGAAGCCCCATAACTCATGAAATGTTGGATGTATCTTGCGGTAGTGGCATCAAGAACGATGCCTGGCCCAGCGGGTGTGCCCAATCGTGCTCAAAGGCAATTTATGATTTGACAATTTGGTGAGGAGACGGCATTGATTCCGGGGACGTCTGGTCCATGTCACTGAAGGGAGATTGCCTTTGAGAGTCAATGTCGTTTCCGCCGTTTCGCATTTGGTTCCGGAGAGCAGGAAGTTGGCGCCGTCTAGCATTGATGAACCAATTGCTGATCTGTAGATAAATTTCTAGTTAGCAGGTGCTGACTTGTTAAACGGAGTGGTTTCCTACTAACCTGGCTGATAGTGAGTCCGGTGCGGGTCATGAACATCTGTTTGTCCTCTTCACTGGGATACGGATGGTCAAGATGCTCATGGAACCATGCACGCAGAATGTCTGTGACAGGCTTGGGCAGGTTGCCCCGTCTCCGCTTGTTCTTGGGGTCAATCGAATCCCCGAGGATACCGAAATTTGATTGTTGAGCATGAGAGAGGGATTGCGGAGACGGTTGTTCGGAATCGCTCTGGTAACCCATTGCGGGATAGGCATAGCCGGTCTGATTGGGCATGACTGGGAAAGAATCCACACTCCTCCGATCACCCGGTACTGTGCCTGGAATGTTGGTTGGGGGATATGCGTGGGGGCCAACCGGGCCCGCCCTGAATTCCTGCGCTGCGAAGTCCGGTCGAGAAAGGGCCCTTGGTTCTGGGTAAGCAGCGCCCGATGTATTCAATCCCCGTTCAGGGAGCGACTGAAGGTCCCGAATGGATGGTAGAATGGGACTGGGGCCACGAGAAGCGTAGCGAGGAGAGCCTGTAATGGGGTCGGTCGGGTGACCAGCCATACGGCTTTGGGGTTCACTCGACCGGGCGGCATAATCGAATGGCAATTTCGGGGGCGATCCATAGGGACGATCAGAGAAAGGGCGGGGATTGGACGTCAGTTCGTGGGCTGCTGATGTAGGCCGCTCGCGCGCGTGCTGGCGGGAAGTGAAATATGAGGTCGATTCGATCTCATCATGGAGATGAGGCGGGAGTAGCTATCAAAGAGTACATTAGTCTGGCTGGTCCTCTTACGGCGAAACCACCGGTCGGTTTGCCAGGCGCAGTGTGTTGGCTCACCTCTCGAAATGACGGAAGAGCAGGAGTATGATCCGCTGGAAGTCCACTTGCGTAGGAAATGGCCATTTTTCCAGAATCCTCACCCAGTTCACGGTACTGGGACATAGACAAACACTGCCAAAGGGAAGGAAAAGGATTCCGAGGAGGTAACTATTCCACTATGATAGGTAGAACAGAAGTCCAGAGCAGGGAGGCTTGATTGCACAAGTATAGCCGGCCTGCGGCTTCCACACGGAACAAAAGGCAGGTTGGTAGGGGTAGAAGAAAAGAAATAATATATGACCCCACACGTCGAACCACTTGGGTTGTGAAGAGTGATAAGTAGGATTGATGAGGATTGGTGGTGGAATTAAATGGCGGGGAGGAGAGGGGGGAAGAATGAGGTAGATATCAAGAGATGGAGAAGCAAAAGAAGGACGGAGAGGGGTGGAAGAGTTAACTAAGTGAGTCGACTGAGGTCACAGAGCGTAGATAATGAATCTGAACGACGATAGTTGGAGGAGAGGAACATGGGCGACAGATAATAGTAATATAGTTACCAGCGCCTGAGTTTAAAAGTACCTTGACATCGCCGCACACGATGACGATGGAGACAGCTGAACCAAGGTTATGCAAGGTAAGGAGTGAGGCAGCTCAACAATTGGATCTGGGCTGGGTGGACACCAGATCTCTCTTTCAAGGTTGTCGGGGTTCAGTCCTTTTCTTTTTTTTTTTTCTTTTTCCTTTTTTCTTTTCTTTTCCTTTTCTTTTTTTTTTATTTTTTATTTTTTCTTTTACTATTTTATTTTTTAACCCTTTTTTCTTTTTTCGGTCGCCCCTCAATCCTTTTTTTTTTTTTTTTTTCCTTTTCTTCTCTCACATTTTTTCCCTCCTTCGATTTTTTTTTTTTTTTCCATTTTCAAATTTTAATTAAATTTTTCTTCTCATGTCATTTTTTCCTTTTTTGCCTTTTTTTATGGTGATAATTTTTCGCTTTTTAATTATTTCCCTATTCTTCTTTTCTTTTCCTTTTCTTCTCACTTACTCCCTCTACTAACTTACTAGGTACACTAACCCTTTCCCTTTCCCGGGAGACAAATAACACTGCTGGATCATCACCATGCACGTCCAACTCCGAGATAGATCCTTTCCTGCAAGACAAGCTGTATATTTAGTGATGCCATTCGCGGTTAGAAGACGAAGAAGAAGAGGAAGAACAAGTTCAGAAGGACAGCAGATATTTAATAAACAGAAAAATGAAAATAACATCTTTTATACACTATACTACTCTTGCTATCCCTACCTTGAAACCTCCCCGTAAGAAAAAAAACAACCAGAAATAAAAAAAGAAACGTCGAGTCAGAGAAAGCCGACAGGCACAAGATCTGGCTCTCTCTCTCTCTCTGTCTCTGAAACTGGCTGTCCTCCTCCCAACGCACGCGCACAGTAAACTGGCAGTTGCCGTCCGTCAGCTGTCCCATACTAACGCCATCCATAGTTTGCTTTACTACAGTAAGTCAAAACCTAGCCTAGTTAGTAGGACCCATGGGTAAATGACAAGAACAGGGGGGGCGGGGACGGGGGTGGAAAAAGATGGGTGAGGGGAGAGAGGGGAGGGGGGAGGGGGGCCAAAGTAGACCCAACTAAAAGAAAACCGACGATCATGGGTGGGAGTGGATACAGTAGCCACAAACTACAGACGACCGTCATTTGCTCCGGCGGTATTCAGAAGGGCATGCACAATGAGGAGAGAGAGGGGGGGGGGAAAGAACTGAAGAAGATGGGGGATTATTTTTCCTTAGGAGACTAGAGGGAGAAAGAGAGGAATGAGAAATTGTGCAGGAAATGGTTTTTATTTTCACTCAATCAGAAAATTGTTGAGAAAAGGGTAAAATTGTGATTCGTTGATGTTTTTTGGTTTTATTGTTATTAGTATTGTGGTTGTTGTTATTATGATTGTTTTGAATAATGCCATTCTTTTATTTTTCTTTATGTACCTTTCTTTCTTTTCTTTTCCTGGTCACCCCAACCTTCTCCTCGCCTTAAATCGATAATGATAATAATAATACTCGCTCTTAAGGTTGTCTTGACAGATGGTGCCAAGGACTCGGGATCTGGAGTGATTACCCGTCTCGGGCGCAGGGAGGCTGCGTCGAACAGCTAGTAGTAAGTAAAGAGGGGGTGAAGGAGGTAAAAAGACTGGAGTAAGAAAGAAAAGAAAATAATAATAAAAGAGATGCGATTATCTCAGTGGCGTTACAAAAGGTGTGGACAGTTCACTGAACATCCTACTAGTAGTCTGTCTTGTTGACTGGATACTAAATACTCCTACTCCCTTGGGTAAGTTCGTCTGCCATCGCCATCAGAAAATCCTATCTGAGCGTATCCCGTGTGTTAGTTTAGTAGTAACCCATGCAAGTGCGATGCATGCATGTACTAGATATCCTTGACTGTCTAGCAAGTAACTAGATAGGGTACGTAGGCAGAAAATACCTGGATGGCGATAAGTAGTATTCGGCGCTAAATCCCGAAACGTCTATGAGGTGCGAGGAAGTTGTTGTTGTCACTGCTGCTGCTGCTGCTCGCTTCAGGGATTATACGAAGTAGTTAGTAAGTAGTATACATCAGTCACAGTTATCTTTCATCATCTAACTGCCAACCTGTCTCATCAACTATCGATCGCGCTTATGTTTTATCTACCGTGCACAAACGATCATACCCCATCCCCATAAACTACCCCCAAATCTCCATTCCTTTTCGAGACTCCTTCCTATTTTTGCTTTTTGGACGGTTCATCGCAATTAAGTCCCCTTGTTTTGAATGACTCGGGATCCCCCCGGGCGCCTTAATCAGGAGCCAACTTAGCCTCAGAATGGCACTATCATATGCCGGGGGGTTGTGTGGGAAAGGAAGGGGGAGGGGAGTCCGAGATGGTTGGCGGCATCATCGGCTAGACTAGGCTGGCTCACGCCAGGACAAAACGAAGCTGAAACTGGGAAGGAACTCCTTCCGGGCGCCCCTCTCCCTTCGTCCCCTCTTTTCTTTCTCCTTGCCCTTCAACACAGAGAGTGTGTGATTGAGTGAGTGTGTGTCTGCCCGCCTCACACGCCCCATCCATGTTCGTAATTGGTAAAATTCCAGAAACGAGCTAAGTCGGTTAGACTGTTTGTCAAATCCGGGTTCCCCTTCTTTTCTTTTTTTAGGGTAGTTTTTCCGCCCTGTGAAACACACACGGGTTTTCCATTACCTGGTAAAGTGTAGATTGATGGTATTTAAAGGAACCGCGGTTTTCGGATGGTTGATCGCCCCGTAGATAGATAAATAAAGTATAACTAAAAAACTACTAAAAAACTAAACCATAATAATCACGAAATCCTTGCGGTGAGTGAATGATCGTGCTACTAGTATAAAGTAAATAAAGTATGGCAGCAATTGATTTTTATTTTTCCTTATTTTCTTTAAAAGGTAACTAAGTACCCTACCAAAGAGTAAACTTTACGACTTACGGTGGCGAGAGCGAGCAAGCGAGCAAGAAAGAAAGAAAGAGGGGAAGAATAAATATTAGCTGAATGTTCGGGGTTTGCCCACAGAATTAAAGGTGGTACAGAACGTCTCACTTAATTACTGCTGCTGTCTCTGCTTAATTAAATGCCGTATAAGGTGGGGGTAGTACAAGACCGAGCCAACCGTGCTTGACTCAAAGGATTGCGGAAAAAGCTTCCTGCAGGCATAAGTAATCGTCAGGTAGTAAGTCGTAGGTACTAGTAGGCCGCCGGGCTTTAAGAGCAAGCCCTGCTATTAGTCGCTCATCAGCTACGTTGCACAGGGTGGTAGTAAGGACTGACGCCCGCCTCCTCCTCTCATGTAGGCCACATACCATCCCATCACTTAACTGGGCCAACCAATTGGCACACCAATGCAGTCCGTACTGCACGGAAGGGAAGCCAAGGAGAAGCAAGGAAGCAAATCCTCTCGCTCAGGAACGGTCCGGAGCAGGCATGGCTGCAGGTCTAGCCAAAAACGATCTTAGTGGTCATGCAGGAGAGGGGCCGGGGCTTAGCTTGGGGGGGTGTGTGGGAGGAATTCATTTTTCAGCTATGAAATTCCAAGCCAATCACGGGCGGAGACTCGAGGAAAATGCACACAAGAAAGGGAAAAGGAAGGGAATAAAGAAAAAGAATTGGCAGATGAAAATAAATTAAATTAAATAGAGAAAGAAGGTGGAAATAATCAAGAGTCAAGAAAAGAAAAGAAAAGAGGAAAAAGTAAAATTCTAGCACATGAGATCGCCGGGTTTAGTCTCCACAGTGGTGTTGGTGTCAGAACAGGCGCGTAGGGCCACTTCTGACCAAGCAGAGACTACCAAGTGCATCACAAGTCATAGCTTATCCCCAAACAGTATGCGCCTAGATTCAAGACGGTTAGGATGAAAGTTAATCAAAGCCACTGAATAACACACTAATAAATAACACTGTACAGCAGGACAAGACAAGGAGCGAGTGTGCCCACGCCATCTCACAAATTTCCTATTCCCTAACCTGCCTTGCAGAATTGCTACACTACTTACTATAAATTGTGACGGCTATGGCGTTTCGCCCGCTGCAAGGTAATTAGGCAGGGCGAAGGTCTGATCGACCGATTAGATGGTCTCATCTCATCGAGATCGATCATGATAATACGTAGTAGTAGTAACAACAACAACTCCAGTGGTAGGTGCTCTCTCATGACGAGACTTTGACGAGTCTCGAAGGATTCCCACAGCGGGGAAATTCAGCTGAATAACAGAAGAGAATCAGAAGCTAAATTCGGTCGGTCATAGGTCGGCAGCAGCAGAGAGAAGAGGAGGAGGCCCTTGATCGGGTTTGACTAGTAGAGGTCCCAACATCCGGGTCAAGGAAGGGCTGATCGCCGAAAGTGTTCTTCTTTTTCCATGGACCCGACCCCACTTGCTTTTTCAGATGAGCTGCAATCTGTGGTCAGAAGATCCACGTCGGCCTGTCTTCCCAGTTTTTTCCATCGCTGTCCGTTTTTAACGGCAGTCAGTTACTAGTAATATTGACCAATTAATTCCACGGTTTTAAGAGACCCATGGTAAGTAACACTACACGATAACCTTGCTCAAATTTATTGACGGAGAATAGAGCCACCTGGCTTGAATGTGGGTGACCTTGTTCATCACCGGTTTAACGCTGCTGCCGATTTTTGGGGAGGAGAGGAGAGCCTCACGTTCAATACCGTCAGTTACAGTTGTCGCTCTCCCTCCAGGGTCACTCGGTCTCCTTCCTCCACCCATCGCCCCTCTCTTTCTATAGCGAGCGTGGCTACTAGCCTCTCCGCAAGGCCCCCCTCTATCCCTTCGTAGCGGCGTGGTCTGAGTAGGTAACATGACTAACGTCGGTAGCCAATGCCATCTAGACGAGTATGGGCTAGGATTGGTCACTATTACCCATATAATATGCAAGATCCATTGCCCGTGCATATGACATCTCAGCTTGTCGGTTAGGAGGTGGGTATTGGAGGTTGACATGCCGCGATTAGAGGGGCAAAAATTGCACGGCAGATTGAATCAGGATTCATTACAAGGGTTGATGTGATTTTGTCGGCCGCGACCAAGCAAGGTCCATGCAAAAGTTGGGAATGACTCGGTTTAATTAGGATCGGAGAGTCAGATACTGGACCTGGTGCCCTCTGCTAACGAATGATATGCATGACTGTTATTGCGATAAAGTGGGATTAATTAGTTGTAAATTGTCTGGATCCCGAACCACTTCCCCCCTTCTCCTCCTCCCCTTTCGGTGTGACGGGCAGCGCCCGCGCACGAGGAGGATGAGGAGAAGTTTGATCCAAAGTTCGGGAGAGCTCTGGGAATCCAAGGAAAAAGCCGCCGAGGAGGAAAGGAGGGAAAGTTTAGGATCCAGTTTCAGGGATGACAACCACATGAGAACAAGAGCGATGACAGGGACGAGGTGTGCAATCCATGGTACACTGATTAATAGTTCTGACAATGAGAAACCCAGACACATGATGGAACTAGTCTTAAGTCTACTGTGGACGGTGAGTGGGCAGTGGGGCCAGTCTGGGCAATGGTTGGATCCCGCCACGGATAGAGAACATGAACATGGCAGAGCTGAAAAATGGAGCGAGTTGACAGTCGGTAGTAGTGACTGTTTAGTCTAGTGTGAACGGGGCGCAATCCTCCATTTGCGTTTAGTGTCAAAATGGGATGGATTGAGCGTGTCCGCCAGTCACGAGCCCATGACGTACTCCACCGGTGGGACGATCGGAAAAGTCGCTCTGGAAAAGCGACCCGGCTGATTGGTTCCTCCCCCTGGAACGCCGCATCCAATGACAAATGACAAATGACAGAGTCACGGGCCAAGCAAAGCGGGAGTGTGCACGATGTGTACTCCGTCCCAGGGATCTGGCATCAACAGAGTCGCAATGGTATTTAGACAAAAATATAGTGGTTACCCAGTACGTGTTGGTCCCACGGATTTCTATCGTGGGGACAGATCAGAACCACTCCTATGGGTGGCGCGCTGAACAAGACTAGACGGGATCCGCTTCCCTGTCTCATCCTTATCGTCCGAAAGAGCGAGACCGACAGTGAGCGAGTGAGAGGGAGATGGAGCGGAGGTGTAGACGCACACACGCCCGGTTTGCACTACTGTGTACCCCAATATTAGCGAGCTAACAGAGACCGGTCAGAGTTTGTTGACGCCATCTGTCCGCAAATCTTCACAAAATATGTCTAATCCCAGAGAAATCTACTAAACTTTCCACTTCATGTCCGTAATGCGGAAACCCATAAACGGTCTGCTCCTCTTGTCTCTCTTAGCGCCGCTGTTCTGCATCCCAAGACGTTAAGCCCAGGTGTCAGACACTTTGGGGGAAGAATGTCCAAATCAATTACGATCAACGAGCCCAAAGTTGATGCTGATGCCTAAGTTAGTCCAAAGCTTAAGGCAACTTTAACGAAGTTGAGATCGGAGGTTCGGCATCTGCCCGACTATTCAAGCACAAAACCCTAAGTCGGAAACATCGAATCATGACAAGCAAAGTTTGAGCGATGACAGTACTAATCTCCGGGGTGGTATCTGAAAAGAGCATTGTTCATTTTCTCTAGTTGGCAGTCTGCCCCGCGCCAATTGACAGGAGAGTTCGGTACGAACCAGCCAGACGGTCAAAGTTTTGTCTGTGGCTGACCCATAATTAACGACCAACGATGGCGCTGAAGTTCTCCAGACCGAGTAAGCCCGTCAGGTCTTCGCGTGCAAACCTAAATGGAGCGATCCTCGTGGCTTGCCAGATCAGGGCTGCATTCGTCGTGGAATGATTTGTCAATGGGAGGGTAGCCTCAATCGCAGGAAGACCCAGTCCGTCCAGTCTCCATACCACGGGCTCCTTCCCAAACAGGAAGAGCTTCTGCTGGCCTTGCTGGGCAATCCTTTCGTAGTATCCAGTATGGAGTATGAAGTATTGACTAGTAAAACGTGCCCGTTGCGGTGTCGCAAAAGGATCTGGGTGAACACTAATTTACGATCTGGTTAGTCGTGCAGGACTCACGATTCACCGAGAGAAGGGGGTGGCGACGGAGCGGTCCATGACCTACCTAGTGCATGTCGTGGGTAGTATAGCAGATAGCGGTAAAGGAATGGAACTATTCGTATTGAGCTGGTGCCCTTGAGGGGGCGGCCTTCTGACGGTGAGAGCGAGAGAGTTGAGACTAGGTGAACTATTCTGTGCTCGATAGGGACTAGGGGAGATGAGAGACTTCCCGATTAGGAAAGAAAAGGTGGCTGCGCGCGTATATCAGCCACCGATGACGCAGTCAGCAGCAGGGCAAAAGAGGCTGGTGACTGAGTTTTGCCCAAAAATGACAGGCCCAATTGTTGCCACCGAGAGGGGGGGTCGCCGGCCACCTGCAGCGGAATGCCCGATTCAGTCTAGTGTTTAGCGCTTTTCTGCCTTTTTATCTTCTTACATTTTTAATTATTTTTAATTTCCCTTCCCAAGAAAAATTTTGTTGTCAGATCCCAGATCGTGCAGGAATGGAGCAAGGGTGTAGATCCAGCCTGGATCTCGCAGGTCAGACCAATCCAACCCCCGATCATCCGGCCATCACCCGGATGTCTATGTATAGTCTAAGTACATACAAGATCATCTGAATAGATCTCTAAACGGGAACAAAATAAGAAACATCTCTCGTAAAAGAAAAGCGAAAAGAGATCGAGGCAACCGCGGGTCAAGCAGTTTCATGATGATCCTGGGACTCTGCCGCTCCTCGGAAACTCCGACTGCTCAATGACAGTTCTTCTAGAACAAAATTTTTTAGTCCCCCCAGAATGGTGAAACGAAAGTTGCACGAGTCGCAACAGACGATCTAGTGGGAAAGTGTCAAGAACAAGACCAGCAACTATGGATCGCGCACTCAAAGATGGGGATGGCTGACCCAGCGGCTCGGCTGTGACACTGTGGCAGAGCAAGCGTCCTGAGTCAGCCGAAGGATGGGAGGGCAAGAGAAAAGTGTCCACTTGGAGGCATTATTTGTCATCGCCCATCGGCCCCCCCCCCTGTCTGCGGTGTCACCATCCACTGGTTCCTGGTCCTTGGGATCCGCCTGACGGGCCAGCATCGGCATCCATCGCGAACGGACTAAAGGGTCGTGCATCTGACAGGACCAAGATGCTAGTCAGTAGTCGATGAATAGTTACGGAGTAAGTAAAGTAAAGATTCTTAGGTCAAGTACGTAGTACGTAGTAGTAAAGTAGCTCGCTTGGAGACAATGGATTGACCTGAATTGACTCCCGTCCCTCGGTATTGTTACCATTGTTTGTCTGCCACATAAACCTAACTTTGTACGTAGTCCCTAATCCCCGTCAAATTGATGGTTAATATTATTATTAATATTATTCCATCTGATATTTCATTAGTCACCCGTGATTGTAGTAACTAGGGCAAGGTTGGATAAAGGAAAAGAGACACCCCATTAAACCCAGAATGGCCTTTATTATCATAAAAAGTACACATCAGTAGTACCACCACCTTACTTTGTGCTGCATCTCAAAATGGCTTGTCCAATTCAAGATGCTGGCACCTTCATGCGAGGAGCAAGTCAAAAACGAACAAACTTTCCCTTTGGAACGCGACTGACATCATACCCGGTTCCAGGATGTCTCACCCGCCATCACCGCCCACGAGATCTTCTCTAAAAACTTCCCTGATGCATTGATTGACGGTGAGAAATCTCCGAGGTTTTCCCCGTTTTGGGGCGCCTCCTTCGCGGGCACCAACTGCCCAGTTCAGAATGGCGCCTTCAATAGCCTGAGGTTCTATTGCATCTATCACTAGCCCCAAACTTAACCCGAGGCTGTAACCAAACTTCTCCTTAAACTCTACTTACTCTCCAGCAGAGATGGACCGCCACGGGCTTCCTCTCTCCCCCATCTCCATCTCCTCCCCGCCCCAAAAAAGAACAATGGCCTTCTAGAACATGGCAGGGAAAAGGCCGCACCATATTCCTGCTGCGGCAACCAGCGTGTCCGATCACTTATTTGGGTTCTGGCCTCCCACCTCCCAAGCCAATGGCCCCCCCTTTCTTCTCGGCCCCATCAGTTCGTCTGGCTGAGCGGAGGATCGACCTATGATAGAGACGGCTGCTGCTGATCAGAAAATCACAGCATGGCATTGTGATCAACCGTGCCAGTCTGCACATTTCAGACTTCTTTTTCTTCCGGGGTTTAACCTGCCTAAAATAGACATGACGGCCGTTGTTTGAAAGTCAGAATCGCGCTTCTGCTGCTGCATTGGTGTGGGGTGTTTTTGTTCCTGTTTATGCGAACTAGCGATCGAAATAACAGAGTGGTTGGGGGGAATCAAAAAAAAAAAAAAAAAGCGATTGGGGTGAGTATCTACCCCCGGTTTCCTAGAGCATTATGGAGTAATGGCATGGTTGTTCAGCCTCTCTCCCTTTCCCCTTTCCTCTCCCTCTCTCTCCCTCTCCCTTGTTCTGTGTTTGGGGGGGGAAACTAGGGATGAGTGCCAGACATTGTGTGCATTAGTGGGTCGGGAGCCATGGTTCTGGTCCTGTATGTGCCTCGATAGTAACCTTCCAAGTATGTTGTCCCAGAGAAGGTTTCCCTTGAGATTCCGTGCCCGCGTTGGGGGGAAGAGGATACAGACTAGTCGGAGACCAAATTCCGACATCCTCCGATTCAATCTACTGAATGATTGATTAACCCATGCTTGTATAGTCCCTTAATCTGCCACTATATTCCTCACCAACAGATGGACCAATCGACTTTCCAACCCTACTGTTTATATTTAGACACCAGCTGATTCCCTGCTTGAATCCGTCACCAACGTTTCGCATTCCAGCCCGAAGCGATTTTGAAACAAGGGTCATACATAACTCTATCTACGCCGTTGAATTCATCCCTCGTTTCCTTGCCCTCTTCCAGTGTGATATGCATTAGATTTGACACTGTCGTGAAACTCAAAACTGCATGTCTCGTCGCGAGACGCACCGGCATGACGTGGGTGCCATGTCGGGATTCTTGCTGCCTGGCGTGCTGTCTCCTATCCACAGCACCCTGTCACGGCTCCTGACTCGTGTCATCTGATGGGTGTGAGTGAAACTTGAAGAGTTGTATTGATTCACCGGGGCTTCTGATGGGTAGGAAGAAGTAGCCGACGCTGTCTGATTGGCGGGTTGAACATACTAGATCCATATGTCCGGGATAGGTTAAGTCAGCCAGGCCAGACCAGGTCCAGGCTTGTGCCCTGATGGAAAGGTAACACCGAGTGGGCTTATGCTTTGGTTTAGAGTTGCCTTTGCGAGTCATCTGGTGGGGTAAACACCAGGCCTGGCTATACGACATTGGTCGCGAGGTTCCTGTCCTGACAACCCGTCCAATTCGAAGTTATACAACTATAATAGTTCAACTCTGTCTGCACACCAACCATTGCCCCTTGTCTGTCGCCACACACACACTTACCAACCTGCATATATGTGCCTTCAGGGGTCTTACGCAATCTGAGTGGGGAGCTTCTACCTACCGTTTCATGCGCCGTACAACCTTTACTACTACCCCTCTATTAAGCCTTGCCATCCTATGCCAGCAGTCATCTGACATTAGCCCCCTGCGTGACAATGCGTCTATTGTCCGATCTGGCTCTATCCCTTGATACATTGTCCACTAGATACCTCCCCGTTCCTCCCTAGAACGTTAACTCTACCCGTATAAGATTCGGCTTCTATGTGGTACTAGTAGCTAGATCATTTATATATATATGTACGGCTCACTAAACTATCACGGAATGAATAGTACTTAGTACCTACTACTTTGGCCCTACTAAGTAACATAATCTTGCTTCATTTCCAAACCATAGTAGTTTTCCAACTTACTACTTAGTAACCCAATAATTGTAGTACATATACATAAACTTTGAACTTACTATATAACTACGTAGTAGTAGATCGGATACTACGTGACATTGAAGCCTCCGTCCCAGATGCGGGCAATTGAACATGATCTATCATAGCAAAAGATAATTCCTACTCATCAGTAAGCAAGATTTTTACTACAGACTACATCCGACAAACTAAACAACAATTCAATCAATCAATATAGCCTGTAATATAACTCCTGCTCCTCCTCATCATCCATCTTATCTACTTTCCATCTTTCAAAGACACACACGTACGCAACATCTTCACCTATCGACAATTGAGAAAATATAGGCAACAGTAAATAAGTATCACTCCTTAAAAAAAGTCCCCTATGAATCACAATCATCCAAAAAAAAGGCCAACTTCCGATTGATACCACCTATTCCAAACTACCCCAACGTTTCCTTTCCTATTAGTTGTATACTAACGGAACCGGCTCTAGTACTTACATATTCATCAATACTAGTCAAGGACATATAAATCTTCAACCTGGGTGCTAAAAACTAGTCTATTTGTCCCAGATATTTGGAGTTGAGTAGTCAAAAGGGATTTAGTGAGAGAATTAGAGAGGATGGGAGGGGTACAGTAGCATTATGGGTTAATTATCCTATATATATATATAGTAATGCACTCTGGATGACACTCCTACAAAAGAACAAATAAAAAGACATGTTTGAGAAAGGTTTCTCAACTCCATGCTCGTACAAAACACAGTGGATTCGATCTCCGCGGCTGCTAACTAAGAACCACTGTAGAAGATGGGAAAACTTGATATATGTCCGGTGCTATGGAGGAGAATGTATCTAGTAATGTATCTCTAGAAAGATCACAAAGCAGAGTTCTCATTTATATCTCTCCCCTTCCCTTCGCTGCTGACTCTATCCCGAGTGTGATAAGAATATCTCAGGTTTTCCTTCTACAAATTTTTGGAAAATCTTTTTTTTATATTTTACCCGAGGTTTTCCTTACAGACTTTTTAGACCTATACACGAAGGCTAATAAACCGCAATGTAATACATGAAGGCTAAAGATCTGGGCCATAGTATGGAAGATAAAATTATAACCCTTGTAGATATATAGATATATAGATATATATATGGAACCTACTTACACGAAGTAGTTAGGATATAAGAGATGCTAGCGTGTGCTAGGG